ACCGGCTACAAAATATTCACAGGACTCTGACAGGGGACTGTTAAGGTGTTGAATGATCCTGAGGATCAGCGCCGGACAGAACCTGTGTCAGATACAGTATCATCCAACTCGGTCTCTGAGGGGGAGGGGGATGATGTACCCACTCCCTCAGTTGACTGGAAGAGAGTATCTGATAAGGACACAATCCCTCCTCTTGTCAACCTGACCTTAACAGATCAGAGACCTCCCTCAAAGGAAACCAGGTCTGATAAAGTAAAAGGAGCCATGGAAGAAGGTATTTAGAAGGACACCTTTCCCAGGATTACACAATAAACAAACATACATACATACATACATATATACACACATAACATTCACACACAAAATACGATTTATTCAGATTAATCGACATCATAGCAATTTTATGTCAACAACTTTCTGAAGGAAAAGTAGACTTATTCAGGAACCTTGGATATATAGGGGCCAAATAAAGAGGCTTAACAAATTCAGGGGGAACAGTCTACTCTGTGGCACCTGGAGAAAATGTGAGATCACGCATATATGTTAATAATCTTATTAATGATTCACCCTTGATTGAGTTCTGTTCCAGAGGCATAACAACGGTGAGGATGATATACACATTGGGCAGGGGATGTGAGCTCATCGTCACTTCAGCCTACTTTCCATATGACTCGGATGAACCACCATCTTCCAAAGAAGTGAGGGACATCATTGAATATTTCCATCTTAGGAAAAAGCAGCTCATCATTGGGTGTGATGCGAATGCACACCACAAATTGTGGGGAAGCACTGACATCAACCAAAGAGAATACCTCATGGAATATTTGGTGAGCTCAAACCTTAATATTCTAAACCAAGGTAACGAGCCTACCTTTGCAGTTTACAATAGGCAGGAGGTTATCAACTTGACACTAGGGGCCAATAAAATAGGAAACCTGACCAGTAATTGGGATGTATCTGAAGAGCCATCTCTATCAGATCACAGATATATATGCTTTCAAATAAGCAACATTAAAGTTGATCAAGCTACTTATAGGAATCCTGAGAGAACCAATTGGGATGATGTATCAGGTGGTGCCAGACTCATGAGAATCATGGCAAAAAAGGCGACCAACAAGGTCAGCACAATTAAGCTGCTGTTAGGCAGTAAGGCAGTAAGGGAGACACTGAATGAATTATTCAGGGTTTACTTTCCTGATTCAAAATTGATTGATAATTTGGACGATGGACATGGTCACCAAAACCTGGGCACTTGCCAAAGCAAGATGAACAGGATAGACTGGAACCTGGCCAAAGTCATAAATAACCAATCAAAAATCAGATGGGCACTGAATAACTTTAGACCATTTAAGTCAGCGGGAACAGAGAGAATTGTACCAGCACTTTTGCAGCAAGGGGCAGAACTCTTAGTTCCACACCTATGCCACATATATAGCCTGCATGGCATATGGTTTTATCCCCATGGCCTTGAGGCAAGTTAAGGTGACATTTATCCTAAAGCCTGGGAAACTAGATTACGCTGAGGCTAAGGCTTATCATCCTATCAGCCTGTCGTCTTTCCTTTTGAAAACGATGGACAAAATGGTGGATAGGCATATCAGGGATGGGGCGTTGAGGACATAGCCTCTACACCAAAACCAGCATGCCTACCAAACAGGTAATCTACCGAAAGCACATTACATAATGTGGTAATATGCACAGAAGGTGTGATTTAACACGAAGATATTGCCTTGGCAGAATTCCTTGACAGAGTGGGAGTGTTCGATAGAACATCATTTGATATAATCAAACAGGCGACTGGAAAGCATGGCACAGAGCCTGCAATATGCAGGTGGATCAGTGCTATGCTTGAAAGCAGAACCATAGCTGCCACACTATCAGGAGAGACCCTGGGGGCATCCATGTCTAGGGGGTGTCTGCAGGGGGGCGTTCTCTAGCCTGTTGTGGGACCTGGTTGTTGGTGATCTCCTGTGGGGACTTAATGATGATGTGTATTATACAGTGGGATATGCTGATGACATAGAAATCCTCAGAAATAGAAAATTCCTTTCGACAGTATCAGAGTGTCTTCAAACAGCTCTGTACATGGTCCAACGACGGTGTGAAAGAACAAGCCTTTCCATCAATCCCAATAAGATGGTAATTATACCGTTTACCAGGAAGAGAAATATAAAGGGCCTTAAGGAACCGACCCTCTTCAATAAGACAATCCAGCTCTCCAGCGATGTCAAGTACCTCGGTCTAGAATTAGACAAGGGACTGACATGGAAAAAGCAGCTGGACAAGGTCATCAATAAAGCCTATTAGGCTTTTTCGACATGCAGAAGCATGTTTGGTAAAACTTGGGGACTGCAGCCGCACATTGTGTATTGGATATACACTGTGATTCTAAGACCCACAATTATATACAGCGCCACAGTATAGTGGCTCAGATTTAAACTCATGACAAGCAATGCAGAACTTAGCAAAAATTGCAAAGGTTGGCTTGCTTGGGTATCACAGGAGCAATTCGAACATCTCCAACAGCTGCACTGGATATACTCCATGGACTCCCCCCACTACACATACAGTTGGAGGCAGATGCCAGGGCAGGAATCTACCATCTCCAGTACAGTGATCAATGGAAACCTAAATCCAATAGTTTCGGACATGCATACATAAAAAAGAACATGAAAAAAGAACCCATATTACAAATGGGGTCTGACAAAATGACACCAAGACATGTATATGAAAAACTCTTCACAGTCAGATTTCCTGACAGGAGTGAATGGGAAGACGGGTTTCGGCCCGATAGAAAAGGGGATTGATCTGGTATACAAATGGTTCCAAGACAAATAAGGGCACTAGAGCTGGTGTGTTCTGCTATGGTACGAGGCGGAAACTTAGTTTCAGCCTCAGGCAGTACACGACAGTATTCCAGGCAGAAGCAAATGCCATTAAGGCATGTATTATGGAGAATCTAAATAGGAACTACAGAAATAGGAAGATCTACATTCTATCTGACAGCCAAGCTGCACTTAAAGCGATTGGCAAACACCAGATCAACTCAAAATTGGTCTGGGATTGTCACCAAACTCTCATGGAACTGGCCAAACATAACAGGGTACAACTGATATGGGCGCTGGGGCATGAGGGTATTGCTGGAAACGAAACAGCAGACCAGTTGGCCAAGACTGGAGCTGAACATCTGTTCATAGGACCTGAACCAGCCTGTGGCATCTCTATAGGAGTCGCCAGAAAGGCAAACATGGACTGGACAAATATGAAGCACAAGAAATACTGGGGATCCTTGACTGGACTCAGGCAAGCAAAGGGACTCATATGAGGACCCTCTATTAAAAGAGCGAAGGAACTGTTGAAGTTAAACAGGAACCAGCTACGACGGGTGGTAGGACTACTTACAGGACATTGTCACCTCAAAGGACACCTGTTCAAACTGAGACTAAGTAATAGTCCAACCTATCAGAGGCGTCAAGAAGAAAATGAAACAGCCACACATATCCTGTGCGAATGTGAGGCCTTAGCTTATTTAAGATTGTGTCACTTGGGTCAATATTTTATGGAACCAAGTGACTATTTCGATGTCCTCACATATAAAATCCTACGCTTCATTCGAAGTACAGGATTGTTGAGGGGATAATCAGAAGGGGAGGCACAATAGATCACTGTGGTCGTGGTGCAAGGGCCAAGAAGGCCACCCCTTATACATTCATTCATCCATTCATATCATTCCCAATATTAATAAATATCACAGAACTTTATAACGTTGTCCCCTTCTAGGGACAGACTGTTTCCAAGTTCACCAACTTATATACAGTTTATGTTAGTTAGTTATTGGAGAGGGTGGGTTTCCCCATGCACTTAGACCTGTATTGGTCCATTGTGCTTCCCTCTATGATTTCTACCAGTCTCTATATCCTACCGGTACTGGTGCTTACCATCAGTCCCGCTCAGCCAGCAAGACCGGCTCTACCAGCTAAGAGGTATCTATAATGCTTCCCCCATCTACTGGAGGTATTAGAGACTTTTGTTGGGCGGGAAATGTCCGTAATTTGGCTCAGTGACCTCCTTTGGAGATATGAGGTGCTTTTACGTGCCGTAAAGCTACGACATGGGACCCACGGCTTAAAGTCCCTCCCAGAGGACTTGTTCCCTGAATTTTTCCGCTCTTAAAAATTCGACGACCTCCGTCGGGTATTTGAACCCGCGTACTACGAGTCATGAGGTGGGAACATTACCTCTAGACTACGGCTACCGCTTACAGTTTATGTTAATCTCACATCAGATTCCATCCTTCATACTTTCCTTGCAATTTCCTTGTATACACTAGGTAAAACCTAGAGAGGTACTAGACACCACACCAATTGGATGCTACCAGACAAATGGTAACAGGCTGTGGAGGTCCATAGCGTTGTGAGATGTTGAGGGTCCCACATTATCAGGACAATTGGCTCACAAATGGCAGTAAGGTTGTCAGCCTTATGTGCTGGCTGCCCTTTAAGCCCCAGTAAGATTCCTGATACTTAATTTTGTGAGAGGCTGAGTCTACCCCAGGGCCATAGTGCGGCTGGAAGGATTAGGTCAATTGAAAAATTCCACCTCACTGGGACTCAAACCCACAACCTTTCAGCTTGTAGCATAGTGCCTCCAACAACTATGCCACTGCATGCCTCCCAACACTTGATATGAAAGTAAAACTTCATGTACCCTATTCCAGTGGTGATTCAATTTTTAACTTTATTTATTGCAAGCACAGAAAAAGTTGCACAAAAGAAAGCTGTCAAAGAACATTTTCTAGGCCCTTCTGATCAGTGTTCAACAATATATGAAATATATCTAATGTATCTCCTCAAGGCTTCATATGCATCCAGTTTAGAATAACTGCTCTAAGTTGGGTTGAATGGCATGCAAACACTGATTTTTTCTCTATTACAGAAAGTCTTTCCAAACTGTGCAGAAAGGATCAGAATTTCATGTATTACTGACCATGTTATTCTTACCTGAAGTTCCTTTATGAACCAGATCACCAAGCAAATCCTGCATTGATATGTTATTACTACATAGCTGGATGAATTCACTGAAGTATTCATTTAGCAAACAAGCTGGCTGTTCTGCCATCTTCACTCGAACTGCCCACTGTGGTGCTTGTGATGGTTCAAAGTCTGAATAACTCTCACTGTCCACAACTACATTCTCCATCAAATGTGGCCAAGTTGCAAACAGATGCAGTTCACTGCAGATTCAAGTTCACTATATAGTAAAGAATATTCCACTAAACACGATAACTAGTGCCATCTATAAAATTATATTCAGGCACTGGAAACTCTATTTCAGACAGCAGTCAGGCAACAGAAATATAGCAACATTCTGTAATTTTTAACGAGACCAACAAATTAAACTTATTTCATAAACAGACAACTTTTATATATGTTCTGGTCAAGTGGGATTTGTGGTGGACAAAGTGGTGCTGGGGCAGGTTTTCTCTGAGTACTTCAGTTTCCCCTGCCAATCTTCATTCCACCAACTGCTCCATAATCACCCTCACCTAGATCTGGGGCTGGTACAATAGGCCAGAAGTGGCTGCAGTACCAAGTGGACTCAGTCCCACCCCACCAAGGAAAAAAAAAAAAAGTACAGTAGTCCCTCGTTTACCACACAGAATATATTTTTGAATTATATAATGGACAACAAAACTATCAAGCCAGGACAGCTCAGTTGGTATAGTGATGGCTTGGATGACAAGGGTTCAATTCCTGGCAAGGGCACGAGATTCTTCCCTTCTCCGTAGAGTTCAGACCAGCTTTGAGGCCCATGCAAACCATGGAAACCATGGTCTCTTCTCCCAAGAGAAAAGCAGCCAGGATGTGAAGCTGACACCTCTGCCAAATGCTGAGGTCAAGAATGGCAGAACCATACCTCCACTCCCCCATATGTTTTCATGGCATGATGTTTCATTACTTAGGCAGAGGGACAACTTTGCCTCAAATTATCAAAACCATGCTGGGCAAGTGCTTGGTCTTATGAGAAATAACAAGTAAGGGGAATTAGCACCTGAAACATATATATATATATACACACACGATGGTAAGTCAGAAATTATCCACACTTTCTCCATAACACATCTTTAGGTTTGTCCCACTGTCTCCTATGCATGCATTGTTAGAGTTGGTACTATTGTGGTCACGTGATCCAAGTTTTACCTTGATGCTGTGACAGTGTAAACATGGCTGCTCCGCTAGCAGTTTGCACCAATGATTAACAAAGAATAGTGATCCAATTTCTCTGATTGGAAGATGTGTCAGGGGCTGAAATTCATATGTGGGTTCATCACTATGAGCCAGAATCCAAAAGCCAAGAGTATGCCGTGGAAACAGCTGGGATCGCAAACAAAGATGACATTCAAAACTCAATCTTTTGTGGGAAAGGTGATGTTAACCGTTTTTTGCGACTCAAAAAGGCCTATACTGGAAGACTACCTGGAAAAAGGGTGTACGATCAACAGTGCAAGATACAGTGATTTGCTGGCCAACAATCTGAAGCCAGCAATTCACACCAAATGCCGAGGCCTATTGTCGAAGAAAGTGTTGTTGTTGCATGACAATGAACACTCACACAAGGACGGCCAGACCGTTGAAACCATTAACCATGTGTGTTTCGAGGTGCTGGAACACCCTGCCTACAGCCAAGAGCTCACCCTTTCCGACTATCATCTCTTTGGACCGCTCAAAGATGTTTTACGAGGTTTTTGATTTTCTACGGACAAAGAAGTGGGGGAAGCGGTGCATAAATGTTTGCACGACCAACCAAAAACCTTCTTCATGGAGGGAATATGCAAGGTTTTGGACCACTGGACCAAGTGCATCGAAAAGGGAGGAGACTATGTAGAAAAATGAAGTACTTGTTCAACCCCTACTTTTGTATATATGGATTGGAAAAACAAGAGTGCGGATAATTTTTTACTTACCTATGTATATATACATACAAAGCCTCAAGGTCCAAAAAAAAATATATAGACTGTAAGAAATGACACCCCAATAACTTCTAAAAAAGAGATAGAAGATTCCTTGTAAGTCATTCAAAGTACATGGCCATGAACATAATAAAACATATGAGAAAACTTAAGAAAACATTGTAAGGAAGGACCAGCAACAAGCAACATGAGTTCACTGGGCACCTCCTGAATACAAGACAAAAGAATTAACATTCAAGTCAATCTGCTCTGTAGCAAAACACAGCAATATCTTACTTAAAATGTAAATACCCATGAAAAACTGGGCTGATGGCACCACACACTATTGAATCAAAAAAAAGAAATTGGTTTTCATGTTTCATCACCTGCAAAAAATGTCATATATATAAACAGCAGTAAGGCTACAACTAACTAGCAGACCAGTTCAGTTTTCTCGTTTGAATAACTGAGCAGTCACACACTCTGTACACAAACATGAGCTTCAATTACCAAGTAGAAATAAGGAAATGTCTCCCATAATTAAAAAAGAATTAAAAGTATTTGTTGTTAGGTTCTGAACAGGACCTTGTACTCATCAAAATATACAACTTACACATATAGTTATAAAATTTTAAACACTTCCATCAATGTACCGAATATTTTACTTAGTGACCAAGTTATTTTAAAATTTTCTAAACATACCAAGCATACATCCATATATCTATTGTGGTGGATTTGCTATATACAGGAATTGCTGAACAGAGGTCTAGGGGCATGCGCACAATGGGAGAGTTGTGGATTGTATCGGCATATTGCTAGGCGATAACTCTGTGAACACTTGGATAGCGCAACAGAAGTGTGAGTGATGTCACATATCCCCACTCATCCTGTCTCTATGCAACGCTCGGAAACACCCTTCCCTGTTAGACTGTGACGTCACACAACAGTAGGGCATCCATTGCTAGGCAATGTGTGTGTACGCACGCCTGATAACAATACCTGATATCTGTTGCCGAGTAGCAAACACTGTTCAGGAGTATTGAGGATGGAGTATTTGGAGAGAACTGGGAGTACTTGGGAGTTTGTAGAAGAACTGTGAAGATTGAAAGGGTGATTTAGAAGACTTTATGTGTGTGATGGTATGTGCAACACTGGATTATAAGGTGTGTTTAAAGCAGCAATAGCGCTGTAATTTGAGTGTGACTAAAGACTGCGTGTAACCAAGCTGTTAATAAATCCAATCATCAGAACTAGAACCCGTCATTTTGTCATGCGTACCCCCATACACGTGACACTATCATTACAGGCTATCTACATTATAATCCACGGAACATCATACCTCGTGTATCATGTTACAGAAGAAATGTTCTGTGTAAATACGTAGGTCGTATTGAAAGTCATGAGCAACATTTTTTTGTAAAGTAACATGCTTTATTATTGACAAACCAAATACACCACCTCAATCTACAAACCTTTCTTTATTTTTCCACATAATCACTAATTCTTTGCATACATTTCTCCCAGCATTCTGGGAGTTCAAAAATTCCCCTTCTGTAAAATTCCATTCCAGCCATCTGAAGACACTGACACACTGCTTTCTGAATTCAGCGTGCTTATGGAAATGTGTGCATGAGTGCGAGCAGTGTTTGAAGATGGGTGAAACATTTTAAAGATGGGAACACCAGCATTGAAGATGAGCCTCGGAGCGGTCGTCCTCGAACAGCCTCAACTGAACGCAACAAGGAAAGAGTGGATGAGATCATTCAAGATGACAGGCATGTGACTGTGGACACAATAGCCCAAAAACTTGGAATAGGGCACAGTGCAGTACATGAGACAATTGAAAGCTTTGGCTATAGGAAAGTTTGTGATCGTTGGGTCCTGAGGTTATTGACCAAAGACCACAAAGGTCACACTGGAAGCAATTGCAAAGATGGGGTGGGAAGTTCTACCACACCCCTCCTACAGCCCTGATCTGGCACCATCCGACTACCATATTTTCGGATTTGTGAAGGATCAGCTGCGTGGACAACATTTTGAGACAAGGGAGGCAATTCAGAAAGCAGTGCGTCAGTGTCTTCAGATGGCTGGAGTGGAATTTTACAGAAGGGGAATTTTCAAACTCCCAGAACGCTGGGAGAAATGTGTATAAAGAAGTGGCGATTATGTGGAAAAATAAAGAAAGTTCTGTAGATTGAGGTGGTGTATTTGGTTTGTCAATAATAAAGCATGTTACTTTACAAAAAATTGTTGCTCATGACTTTCAGTACGACCCTCGTATGTTTCAATTTCCCACCAGGGTATGATTGTTGGAAGTGCGCTGAAAATTGAATCCAGTAACTTTATAATTATGACATAAGGGTCTGTGTCACTGACTAATGACAACGCACCTTTCTTCCCATAATGGAATGCCACATAGCTTTAGTGTTTTCTTGGCTGGGGCCAGCCAGCCGGTCAATCAGTCAACCCCATGGAGCTGAGTCCTTAAGAATTCACTAGTCACTCAGCTACCCAAGAATTTCCCCAACATTGTATGAAAGCCAAAGGTTCATTACTATATTCACAAGCGTCTACCATTGGTCCCTATACCAAGCCAGATGAATCCATTCCATCCCCCCCTCCATTTCTCTAAGATACATTTTAACATTATCCTCCCCACTTATGTGTAGGTCCCAGTGACACTGTTCTTACAGTGTTGAATGAAAACTGGCCATTTAGGAACATGATAAAATGATACAGGATGTATAATGTCATAATATATAAGCACACATCTAGAATCTACAAAGAATCGAATCAATACTTGAGTAAGTACTTGCCTTATTGGGTCAAAAGTTGCACCAAAAGGCAGTTTTCCCAATTCAGCAACACCCAGTGATTCCCCTTGCAGGATATCAAAATCGGGAGGTTCCTGGGTCCAAGTGTTGTTGCTAGTCCAGTCCCTCAGAACATAGGTGAATCTCACAGCAACAGAAACAGGTTCAAGAGACAAAGGACTTGGAACTTTGGATTTAAACAGATTTAAAAGCCCTGAAAAATAAGAACTCATGATGTCAGATTCCTGAAAATAAACATTAGAATTAAGAGTTCTATCTACTGGGATACCATTCCATGTAGTCCACTGGAATTCAACCGATATTTCAGAGGAACTGGCGTGAAGCAGGTAGCAAGCAGAGCTAGAGCTGAAGACAGAGGCAGCATGTTCCTCTGAATGAGTTGTTGTCCCTCAATGGACTATGTGGCGTTATATCCCAGAAGACAGAACCGTTCATAACCACTGCTGTGAGAATTTAAAATCCTATAACAATACACTCTAAAATATCTTTAAGCAAGTATGAAATCAGTATCAACATTATTTACAGATATAAATATATCATCCATTTTATGAAGGTTGGTATTTAATTGTGCAACCTGTAAATGATGATCCCTATGAGCATCATATGGGAGACCTTGAACAGGCTGGACATCTCTTCCACATCGTTGCCTACTCACGGTACAGTGCACCTTCAGAGATGTTCTAGATAGAGTCTATTTCATACTATATTACACAATCCTTTCCCACACCACGAACAGTTGCAAATTATTCACCAGTTCCATTCTTTTAAGTGTTATTTAATGCTGCTTTCAGCAACTAGACAACTGGATAAATATTAAATGAATCATGAATTGGAAAGGATTTGCGAGGAACTCATTGTGGCCTAATTGAGGTGCTATCCTGGTATAACCCAGTCCATTAAATAAAACAAACTCCATGACTTTAGCCCACAAGTGAACTATACCAACTTCATCTGTGGTCTAGTGGTCACAGTTCCTGGCTACAGATCCAGAGGCCCCTGGTTCGATTCCCAGCGCTACCACACTTTCTCAGAAGTAGTGGGTCTGGAACGGGATCCACTCAGCCTTGTGAGGATAACTGAGGAGCTATTTCAAGGAAATAGGGGCTCCAGTCTAGAAAACCGAAATTAACAGCCATGGAGATTCATTGTGCTGACCACGCAACATCCTCTACCTGCTAAAGTTGGCACTACCTTCACCAACAAGCGGCGGTCGCTTGGTCGGTTGGTCCCAGTCCATTAAATGCAATTCTTAATGATGTAACCTGATGTACATACCACATATCACATCCTGTAACAGGCCATGAAGGCCCATACGGTTGTGACACGTTGAGGGTCCCACATTATCTAGACAATCGGCTCATAATTTTAATTTTCTCTGGCTAACATTATCATACAACACAGGTCATTGCTACCATGACAAAACTGTCCTCAAATTCTGGACAGGAAAGATGATGAATGGATGCTAATGTGTGATGAGCTAACAAAAAATGGGAACTAAGTATGGCACTGAAAAGGCTTCAGTTGTTCATGTACAGAGCACACTTTCACTGACACTACCTCCATTCAGCCCTTATTGAACTTTTTCGTTCAGAAATTTCAGACAGTTTATAAGCCAAACCAACAACTGTCTTTGGACGAATATGTGAATCCTTGGAGGGGAAGGCTTCGTATGCGAACATATAATCCTGGGAAACTTACAAAGTATGGCCTACTTGTTCGTGTAGTTACTGAAAGCACTTCAGGCTATACTGGAAATTTAGAAATTTATTCTGGTGAAGGAAAGAAATTACAAGAAACTATTCTTTCTGTTTTGGAACCCTATCTTGATCAAAACTACCATGTCTATCAAGACAATTATTATAACAGTGTGGCAACTGCAGAACACCTACTTTCGAGAAAAGTACGTGTTTGTGGAACAATTAGGGTGAATAGAGGCCTTCCTCCAGATCTGAAAGAGGAATGTAAATCCCTGAAACGTGGTGAAACCACATTCAGGAGGAAGGGGGATATTCTTCTTCAGTCCTGGAGGGATACTCGTGTTGTGAATAAGATTTCCACAATTCACAATTCGAGCATGGTTGATGTTCAAAGGAGACATGGACAGGTAAAGAAGCCTGTTTGTATTTCCGAATATAATATGTTCATGAAGGGAGTTGATAGAGCCGATCAGTACTTGGCCTATTATTCTCTTCCTTGGAAAACAGTAAAGTGGACAAAGAAAGTTGCCTTGTGGCTTATAAATTGTGCCATTTTCAATTCATTTTTGGTTTTCAAAAATCTAAACCCTCACTCAAAATTGAAATACAAGGCATTTCTGCTGAATGTGGAAAAAGCTTGGGCTACTGACGTCATGGTGGCGGCAGTACCTGCGTCAGACACAGACGTAGTGCAGCCGGGGCCATCTGTTCGCAACCGCCGGAGGCCTCAAATAGACCCCCCTGGCCGACACTCGCATGATATGCGGAAACATACCCTCGTGAAAATTGTGAAGAGTGAACATGCCAAAGGGAAGCAGCCTTCTAGGCGATGCCGTGTTTGCACAGTACACAACAAAAGGAGTATGACTGTCTACATGTGCAAGTTCTGTGTAATGCCACTTCACAAAGGGGAATGTTTCCAGAAATATCACACTCTCAAGCACTTCTAGGAGCACTGGTAAGTGTTCTCCAAAAATTTTAGTTCATAAAATTAATTAGATTTTATATTAATTTTTAAAGTGAACAGTGCACAAGTTAGGGTAGTAGGTTTAAAAATGCCATTCCCCAGGGTGATTTAAATATTTAAATTGCCGGTCCGCAAAGTGTTAAGTGGCTGCTGACAGTGAGATCATAACTGTAAACACTAGCAAAACATGACTACCATAAAAGGCATACTTCAGAATGTGGCATTCAAAAGTTAATAGTTGATTGTAAGAAACATGGAATCATAAAAGTCATCACTGAGAATGGGCAGAGTACTCAAGACTCATCAGATTTGAATCCCACTGTACTTTTCAAACACAACAAAGAAGAAGTCTGTCACATAATTACTGATAGCTCATTACCTGTGAGATACTTGCAGTGAGGTGGAGTACGTTTCAAATGAACCATCTCAAATTCAAACCGAATTCCTTTCCCTTCACATACTCCCATGTAGTAATGCTGTTGAGGTTCATGAATTTGTACAAAGACAGGAACTTGACTTAAAAAAAGAATCCAGCATTATTTAATGTAAATGCAACCAACTACAGCTTAACATACAGCAGTTCCTCACCAACTTCAGGTGCTGCACTCTCAAAAAACACCACAGTTGGCAAACCAACACCTTATAAAAATTTGGGGTAAGCGAAATAACAGCTGCTATTAACACTGTTTACCATTTCCATTACTAATCATGATAAATACATAACAACATTCCACTGATTTCTGTCAACATACCTTTCTGTAGACGTGTACTACGTGTTAAATATTTACTGTACGTTTTGGCCTTTTGGGCTATCATCAGGTGTTGTATACTCACTATCACCTTGACTGCTCTTCTCAATGTAGAGTATCTGATGATGGCCAAAAGGACAAAACATGTAGTAAGCATTTGTTGTGCAGTATAAATATACAAAGGGGCACATGGTAGTGTAGTTGGAAGAGGCACTATGTTACAAGCCGGAAGATCACGGGTTTGAGTCCTGATGAGATGATATTTTGGGTCGCGCCATAGCTCAAGCAGTTAAGTCACTGGCTAGCGGCCTCCGTAGTCTAGAGGTAACATTCCCACCTCATGACTCGCAGTACACGGGTTCAAATAGTCCTCAAATTTTTAAAGGCGGAAAAATTCAGGGAACAAGTCCTCCGGGAGGGACTTTAAGCCGTGGGCCCCGTGTTGTAGCTTTACGGCACGTAAAAGAACCTCATACCTCCAAATGAGGTCACTGAGCAAAATTGCGGACGTTTGCTGCCCACTGATTTTTTGTGTGTGCACAAAGTAAAAACCACGGTTACATGAAACTAATTACTGTGGACAGAAAAACTGGATAAAAACAGAAAATTGCAGATATTTGAAATCTGTGGTTGCAAACTGTAGTTGGTGATGGACTCCTGTGCTTCATATTTGCCACTATACAATGGACTTTGGAAGCTATTCTCATTCTGTCAGAGACACTAATCTATCATAACCCACAGTGTGTGCTGTTATACAATACAATGCACTGGAACATGCATGTTTAGACAGGAACAATGAGCATTTAATTTCTGAAGATACTTTAAATCATAAACAATACAATAACATAACCTAAACAAGTTCTGAAGAACTCTTAAAGAACTTCACACACAATGAAAATCTAGTTCTTCAAATTCTTTATTTTGTACTTCATATCTGCAAATAGCCTATTTCAACTCCCCCATATGCCTTCATGGCATAGTGCTTAATTAATTAAGCTCAGGGAAAACTTTACCTTAAGAGCCCATTTTAGGAAATATTATACAAAGTACACATAAAACTTAAACTTACCAATTAGAATTGTTGATGGCTATGTATACTGAACTGAGCAAAATCTTCACTCTACTCTCATCAGAGATGGTACAACGTGCTGGTGAAACAATTACAAAGTCTCTAAGGCCATACCATCTCACCAGTGGGTGTGGATGGGAGCTACCATCACCAAAATCACATTCCCTCTGAGGAGGAAAGTCATTGTCCAAAGACATCATGTCATCTTGTACTTGTGTTCTTCCCTCATCTATTTCTTCTTCTACTGGACTTGTAACACCTTCTAGAGGCTTCAGCCTCAGATTATACCTTGTAATAATGAACTCAAAATCTGCAAATAAATGTAATTATGTTTCTTACAGGACACAAATATAATGTCAAAAGTAATAACAGAGAGAGAAAGGTAGGTGTAGAAGTTCGTAAAGCACATTAAGAGAACTGGAGAGTAATAAATGAAATATGAAAGAGAGAAGCAAATACAGACAAAAATTTTCCATGCCTTTCCAATTCTTTACATAGCTTTCTTAAACCCACTAACATAATTTCTGAAAATATACCTCCCTGTCCATGACAACTTTATCAAAGATGGAAAAGGTAAAAGGTAAAGTTGCTCCTGCGCTTATCTAATTAAGCACTATGCCATGAAGACATCCAGGGGAGTATATGCATTGATCCCCATTTTCTTGACCTTGGCACTAACTGGAGATTATTGGTCAGCTTCACGGCCCTGCTGCTTTACCCCTGGGGAAAGAGACACTGGTACCCATTGGACAGGTGCCTGGGTGGGCTCCAGAGCCGGTCTGGATGATGTGGAGAAGACAATATTGTTATATTTTAGCGTCCCGTTGCACTGATTTTCATCCATTATATGTATACAGTGGCCGTCTTGTAGTGCACTCAATTTCACCTGTCACTTCACAACATGTTTCGGCAACATAGTGCCATCATCAGGTGTCCCAATTACGCCAATCTTGCATTGCTTGCCCTCATATGTTTTCACAACACCATTTAAAAAGTATTTAAAAAGTCCGTATTTGTCAACTATGATAAATTTACACTCGCTAAAACTTGTTAAGATAATTCATCTTATTTGTCTTAATTAAAACTTGCATGTGGTTCGTTCACTACGGGGTCATTTTTCTTATTTTCTGTGTAAACTGCGTCTTGTGATGTGTTCTCTTCTTAGCTGCCTCGCAGCTAAGAAGGGAACACACATCACAAGCCGCGGTTTACACAGTAGGTATAGTGACTGGCTATGGGCTGGACAATTGAGGGGTCGAAGTTGTGAGACATCACAAGATGCGGTTTACACAGAAAATAAGAAAAGCGACCCCGTAGTGAACGAACCACATGCAAGTTTTAATTAAGACAAATAAGATTAATTATCTTAACAAGTTTTAGCGAGTGTAAATTTATCATAGTTGACAAATACGGACTTTTTAAATACTTTTTAAATGGTGTTGTGAAAACATATGAGGGCAAGCAATGCAAGATTGGCGTAATTGGGACACCTGATGATGGCACTATGTTGCCGAAACATGTTGTGAAGTGACAGGTGAAATTGAGCGCACTACAAGACGGCCACTGTATACATATAATGGAAGACAATATTCTTGACCCTGCCAGGACTTGAACTTCGACCCCTCAATTGTCCAGCCCATAGCCAGTCACTATACCTACTGTGCTATCCTGGCTCCATTATCAAAGATAAATTAAATAAAAAATTTAAGGCATTGATATATAAAGTTCTATACTAAAATTTGTGCTGCTTCTTACGGTGGATGACAGCACGGTAACTGACATTAAACCCATTCTTACAGGGATGTTTTCTGGTCAACACATTCTTGTGCGAAGGCCCAATGATCAGAATTAGACAAGTGACTTTCATATGACATATTTCTTAAGTTATGAACTCTTCTCTGAAGACACTTCACCAGTTTCAATAAACACTTTTTCCTCCACACCAAAAACATTCAATTTGTGCACTGGTCTGCATGGGTTCTTTTTAAATTGACATTTTATTTGGCTCTGAAGAATCTGTAAAAACTTACAACTCACACAGTATGCATTAGATCCTTTTTGTTTGTTTATACAGTTAACTCTCAGTGGTGGGGAGGGGGGGAGAGAAGTATAGTAGATAATTAGGAGCAGCAGATAATACAAAAATCTGGAAATACCCATTATCAATGCTGAAATCAACTCTGAAAATCTGTTATTATTACTGGTCGCGTTACTGGTTGATCAAAGTGAAACAGTTATTTTTCCAGCAGAACAAAGTAAATCTTTTTCACTGGTAGTAAGCTGGTACAAACAGCTACAAAATAATAACACATGGGAACTGCTATAATACATCACTGATTCACTTTACTGAAACAGAGTTAATGGTTAACATTGAAATCATTACAACAAGCTCTAACCAATAACAGAGGGGTCCTAAAATAGTCACATGGTTAGTCTGCAGACAAACTGGACATGGATAATTGAGAGTCTGCTGTATTTTGAATGGTCCACTATAACACAGAGTTTAAACAGATCTTCATTAAAGCCCTCAAAAATAGTTCATCAAGCAGGAAACTGGTCCATGGCATAACAATACATTTGCCAAACACAATTTCTAACAATTTGTCTGGTTAGTTCTCACATGGTGAATATTTAATAAAGCACAAAAAAAAAATGGTTTATAGCACCATCTACTGTATTGTCTCTACAGTGTAATTTATTTATTCAGTTTATCTACTGTTAGTTCCTCAGAACTCTAGCCATGGTATAGGGGTCTTACCATCTCATGTGGAGCAGTCTTATCAGCTTACGTCAGCATGGGTACTACCAGTTTGGAATGTAGCATCTTGGAGTGTGGTCAGGTGTATAGTACATTGTGTTCCTTGTTGGTTGGTACCAGTCATAGTGACTGTATTATGTGGTGTTTGTGACACTATCATGGCACACCGACAATTGCACGGAACAATTCATAGTGAGGCCAGGGAAGTAATAGCTAATATTGTAGAGATATGCGGCGAGGAAAAGCTGAGTAAACATTTGTCACTGTCACACCCAAAATCTACGGAACATGCTGCTGTATATGCAGGGGTATCTTACACCACAGTAAAAACATCAGAAAGGAGCAAAAGAAATGAAAGGAAAATGACGCCAACAGATGGCTGCAGTCACCAGGAAAGAAGAGAAGACACATTTCTCGCAGTGTTGTGTGTGTAGACGACTTCGATATATGCATTATTAGAAATGAAATTCACAATTTCTATATACAGGAGAAACGAGTGCCCACCATCCCCAAGCTTTTGCCAATAATTAAAAGCAAAATAAATTTTCCTTGGGGAAAAACGTCTTTGTGCAGAGTTATTAAAAGCATGGAGTTTAGATGGTGGCAATGTCAGACAAAGTGCACAATTCTAAGCAAAAAACAGGACACTGTGAACTGGAGAGGTAAATACTTGGTTAAAATAAAGCAGTATCGCAAGGAAGGACGATCAATCGTGTACATCGATGAGACATGGGTAGACAGCAACCTGACGTTTCAAAAGTGCTGACAGAGTAATGATGTCATGGGAGTCCAGGAAAATGTTAACTCCGCCAACAGACTCATAATACTATATGCAGGGACCTTGAATGGTTTAATTCCAGAGGCCAAACTTGTCTACAAGGCTGGCGGTGCAACAGGCGATTACCACGGTCAGATGAATGGTCATAACTTTCAGAAATAGCTGACGGAAAAATTACTTCCCCATATTCCTCAACAGTCCGTCACTGTTCTAGGTAATGCCCCATACCACTGTATCCAAATAGACAAGCCACCAACACCTTACTCGCTAAAGGAGGTTATGATATTGTGGCTACGCAACAAGGGTGTCGACTGTAATGAGAGTATGCAGAAGAATGACCTCTACAATCAAATAATTTCCCTAAAACCGAAAGAGAAAGTGTTCAAGATCGATTCCATTCTGTCCGGACATGGGAATTCTGTGGTCCGTTTGCCACCGTATAAGTGTGATCTCAATCCGATCAAGCTTGCATGGGTAAAAATAAAACGGATAGTCCGAGAGCACAACGTAACAGTGGATTTGTCACTTGCAAAATTACTGGAAGTAACAAATGAAGCCATACAAGACGTTATGGCAGATGACTGGGCTGGTTTCTGTCACCACATGGAATCGCAAGAAAAACTGTACTGGGAAAAAGATGGCATTATGCCGGATGTGATAGACGAAATAATCATCAATCTGCAGGTGATACTGACGGTGAGGATGACACAGACAGTGCTTGTAGTGGTTCATCATTTGGTGATTCAGACTGAGTGCACCAAGCCAGTACATTGTGGATTTGACATGCATTGCTGTGGATTGTAAGGTACTGTTCTGTAGTGTTTGTTTTATAATAGTGTACATTGTATTGCCTATTGTAGAGTTACTGTGTTCCTTATTATGTCAGGCATTGTACATACTGCAATTGTGATATGGTGTCATGCTGGCCGGAAGTGCGATAAGCTAGTGCTTTTGTTCCGCCGCACTGTATCAATTCTGTGGTATCTACTCCTGGTCTCCATAGGCAATGCTTTCCGCTCGGACTGTAGCTCTGAACGTCACCACAGCAAGTGTACAGCTTTGCGTGCTACACAACAGTGTTTACCTTTCTGCGGAGCTAAAGTTACGAGGCACTAACGATAATGGCACTTTCAACAGCTCATATCAGGTAGCATCAACGGACAGGATGAGTAATGAATTGTTAAAAGAAGTACAAGAAAGCTGTGATGGCCAAAATCTAGGTATTGTCCCGGCATCTGCCTTGAGCGATTCATGAAAACCATGAAACCCTTCTTAGGTTAGTCAGTCTCTATGTTGAGACTTGAACCTGAGACCTCTCAAACATGAAGCAGGAGTGTTACAGAACTGTCACATTAATATACTTCTACTGTTCACTGGCTTCAGGTCAACAATATAATTTATTACAATTAGTATCTTTTGTCATGAGTGTAGCGTGGTAGATGTTTACAGACGTTTCTGTATATTCATATTCTTCCATGTTTATCAAAAGATTCATGTCTGTCCATACTTCACAAGTCTCATGAGGCTTAATTATATTTAATCCATGGGTTCCCAACAAATTACTGTTTTGGAAATCCAGTACCGTTAAATGCACTGGCCATCCCGAGGTTACATATACAATTTCAAATGTTTCTCTTACATTAATAAGGTCTCCAAATTGCAGAAATGTTGTATGCATTATAACAATAAATGTCACTTGCAAGTATTAAACATGGTGTATAACAACATCCTTGTAAATTTTCAAATTTAAGTTTAAAGCACTCAATGAGAACAGGGGGCTGTGTCAAGGTGTGGCCAGATAAAAAGGTGGGAAGTTCGTGTTTTTCTTGGTTCATTTCAACAACAATAAAATGATCTTGGACAGTGAATGTTAATAAAATTACTTTCTGAATTGTATAAGCATGAAGCAGGTGGCAAGCACTGTCTGACCCTGAAGACTGAGGTAGCGCATTCCCTCTAACACTGGATTTCAAATGAACTACATGTACTACATCACAGAAAACAGTACTGTTCTTAATACTGGCTGCTTACTCATTTACTGTAAACCAAGAGGTTTGATTCATTGCCAGTCTGAGTGTCAACTCAGAGTCAATATCTAGGATTTGATGTTCTCACAGCTGTGGTTATAAAGTATTCTATCTTCTAGAATATAATGCCATGTAGTAAGTGGGAAGTCAAAGAATGTTTCAGAGGAATATGTCAGCTGCATCTTCAGGGTCACAGAGTAAGTTAAGTGAGAAAACAGCATGAAGCAAGCAGCTAGTACAGAAAACTGCATATGGGAAAATCATGGCCTACAGTGGCTAGGAAGGAGCTGCTTGCTGCTTGTTTTATGCTGGTTTCTTTGCTTGGCTTACTTTCAAACCCTGAATACAGGGGTGATACATGTCCTCTAAATTGTCAGTTGTCTTCCACTGGAGAAAACTCCATTATATCCCAGACGACAGACCTCTTTAACAATTACTGCTGTGACAGCTTCAAATATACTGTCATGTATCCTGGTTGTGTGACGAGTAATTACTGGGTTCTCTGGAGTGATGGATCTATTTATTTGACATCACTATTACAAACACACTCTGTTATAACAATTCACAGACTGCATACTAATACAGTCTACCTGAACTGTTATTTCAAATACCATAGAAACCAAATTCATAACTGATGTTACACCACACAGGTGTGACATATTCTATATAAATTTCATGTTAATCTACAGCCTGATTAAATAACAATAATAATCCGATTCATCTATTTTCAGGATCCAGAGTTTGTGACACACAATCATTACCTCACATGTTAATCCAAACTACCTAAAATCAATGGTGACTTCATTTCAAAACTGCGGACTAATGGGACAGAAAGAAGCAATGAAAGAAAAGCCCCCCCACCTCAAGTGCTTAAACACAGATGGCAGGAAGACATTTCAATCCCTGTAGTTTGTCTCCACAGTAAATTACAGAAGCCTGCAGTAACCAGTTCGGACTAGCTATGAAGTATGATGCCATTTCTCAGGTATGAGGGACATTATGTTCATCAGAGAGAAAGTTCTATAAATACAAAACAATTATTTACGTTATGTTGCGACGATCTATATCAATTGTAACCATTAAATCGCTGTAGTTATTCGTAAGTTTTTCTAACCCACACACCTGCAAATGATATATTTTCTGACGTCCTTTTCCATTCTCCTTCACTGAGTTCACCCCTTTTAAGTTGCGGACCTATCTTAACCTTCGGTATCTTCCATTCCTGAATTATTTTCTCCAAGTGGGCAATGAAAATTTCCCAGTCTGTAGCTGTTGTAAAGTCATGTTGATAAAAATCTTGGTCATCTATTTCTTCGTTCATTTTGTTTCAATAAGTTGCACTCTTTAAATCCTTCAAATGCCAACCCTACTCTTCCTTTACTCGGTTATCACAATGTCGCAGATGATGTCACAGACGTCAAAACAGTCAAAATCGTCAAAATCACCTCCGATCACCGCCTTCGTTGACGTGCGTTCTGTTGCAACGCTGTTCATTTATCAGTACCAGGCCAGTACTAGGTCTCATTGCCACGGATCATCAGTTCGATCGATAACTATTGTCCCACAAGTGACCACGGATCACTAAATCACACACACACACACACACAGTTGTGGTTATCACGGATCATCAATATCGAATTGTTTGTATTTTCAACGTTTGTCGTTTGGCATTGCGCTTATAGTCCGTTTAGCGTTAGACTCACCACAATTGTCCAACAAGTGACCACGGATCACTAAATCACACACACACAGTTGTGGTCATCACGGATCATCAATATCGAATTGTTTGTATTTTCAACGTTAGTCGTTTGGCATAGCGCTTATAGTCCGTTTAGCGTTAGACTCACCACATGTTTCGGAGGGACATATTATCCCCATCTTCAGGGCCACAGCATAAACCACGCAAGAAACTAGCATGGCGCAGCAACTAAGCACAGTCCCTCCGAAACGTAATTTGACTACATGATATAATGCCAGGAAATACAATTCTTCACAACAGTGGATGTGAGAACTTCAAATCCCACTCGTATTTTTATTTGAATGGCTACAATTGTATAAAGGTATTCGAATAATAATCAAATAACTGCAATTGAATAATAGTAAATGAAAGCAGCATAAACTGTATAAAAATGGCAACAGAGTGAAATCACTCAAATGATTGCAGCAGAATGAGACCTTTTCAGTGGCTGCAAACGCATGAACCTAGTATGAAATATATGCTTGAATTTACTGTGTATTATTACATGGCACAAAACAAGTAGATGGTAGAGGCCGGATTTTTTGGAATAGGTCTTATTCTGGAAGGAAGGTGTTTCATCACCATCAGGTTTGGTCACACACATATATAAAACTGTCTGTATAAGCTATACTGAACAACTCTTTGCTTTTAAAATCAGCATTACATTACATTCATTGGTAGCCTTTCATCTACAACTTTCATGGCACCATGATCTGCGTGGCACTCAAGCATGTTATTTGGGTTAAACAAGGAAGAAAAGTAAGAGTTCTATATTTGCAAACATAGTGACAGGTTTTCAAAATCATGACACAATCCTGTATTCTGTGTACTGTAATTATGGTGTATATTATTCAAATGAACAGTGAACAAAGATAATACAAACTTCACAAATCGACTATTCTATGACAAAAATGAGTGAATATAGTGACAATCATACATGATGGAACTTAAACACTTACTACTTATATTTATAAATAAATATTGAATGCTATTAAAATAGCAAAAGCAACATATCACTTGCAACATTTTTAGTTCTCGCAACAGTGGCCACGAAGAGTACTGCCTTCTGGGATAAGATGCTGCATAACCTGGCAGAAGTTCAACTTTATGAGACTACACAGTGTCACATCTCAGAAGATAGTACTCATCAGCGTGCCACTTAGTGTGATTTCCCAGTCAGAACTACAATTGCATATTTTTCTGGTTGATCAAATGAAGATGTACCCAAATCTGGGATCAACAGGAGGAAGGAAAAGAAGTATTTCCCAATAGTGTGTACCTTACATGCATCTCCAGTAATGTAAAACTAATCTTAAACAACACATACCCAAGTGAAGCAAGTAGGTACACAGTCATGTGTATAAACACCTGGATTAAAGACACAAAATTAAATTAGTTTCCCTCTGAATCTGAAACATAATTTTAATGCTAGTTAAAAATATTTTACTACATTTCACCTTCCAGAATTGAGACTGGGATGATGACCCTGGTTCCACCATCATATGCGAAAAGGAAGCAATGACAAACATAAGCTGGAAGAAACCATGTAGATTTCGCTCAAGCATGCATGTAATAATCATAATGAAATTCAAGTTTCAATATGTCACAATCTATTGCATTCTTAGCACATGAGGAAAGTACTGTTTCCTTATTTTCATATTCACTGTTACAAAGTGACAAAGGTGGAAAATCAGTTCCATGATAAAACTATGTTGAACACTTATTATGTGACATTTCAAATATATGTAACTGGCTCATATTACACATTTTATAGAGGTGGTTCTAGAGCTATATATTCGTTCAGCTAAACAAATGTATAATACTTCTAAAGCAAATTTGGATACTTTGGAAGGAATTGCACAGTTCCTATCTAGCCTGATTAGATACACAGACATTGCCCTAATGTCAGTTACATGGTATCACAAAGTTCATTGAATAACATGATTTCACGGCTGGTAATACATTACATTGTATATAGAAAATGCCCAAGTCTCGTAAGTTCAGAAAAACATTTTACATTTACTGTTTCAAAAGTGCAAAAAAACCTTTTGATCCCATTTTGTTCCTTATTAGCTAAATACTGTCTACCACATACAAAACGTTGGATTCATTGCTTTAGAATGTCAGTAGTGACACTAGTTGTGACCTGATAATCATTATTATGAGAAAAGCAAGAGATTTCATGTAACTCTATTCTTGACTATATGTAAATTACGATGTAAATAAATAATGTTATGCGCAGTAACAAATCAGTGAGAAAATGTTTGCCTTGAAGTGGCAATGAGTATTGTACCACAAAACACGAATATTTGGAAAATCAGGCTGGAAAATAATGAGAGACTTTTTTTTCACATCACATTACTCTGACATTCTACAGTCATACACAGTTAACAACTGTTTCATTTCAATACTTGCAGTTTGACACCATGCACACATTTTGACACACACACCCCAACACTTGACACAATGTCAACATTACATCCATCAATCCCAGCTCTTATCACTGTCACAATTCTCGTCTTCAGCATCATCAGACATAACTTCCACATCTTCCCCAAAATCATCATTGTCCTCAATTTCAATGTGTGGAAAACTGCGTTTCCGCTTCTGACCCTTACGTCGTAACTGCAATGCCAATAAATCCTCTTTCGTACGTTCCTTTCTGTATTCATAGACTAGAGGAAATATGTGTTCAATTGCTGCCTGCACATCTGCCACACTCGGTGCTGCAACAGTGAAAAGAAACTTCATTCAAACTAACAAGTCAAATAGAGTTTAAATGAGCAAACAATCCTTTCTTATTGTTCTACTTGAATAAAGTTACTGAAATGTCTATGGGAGACTGCTAAAAATAAATAATCTTGATACCAAAAAACGGTTCTAGAAAGCTGACTATATTCATAACAAGATGCTAAACTTGTCAGAACAACACTAAGTGACACTATATAAAAGGAGAAATTCTGGCAACAGTTTTCTACAAAAAGCAATTTCAACAAAAACTGTGTAATTTCACTTTCTCTTCAACTGGCACAATTTCTATGGGAACACATTACAAAACTGAATGGACAGCACTGTCCTGCATAATTACAGTCTTTATGGGCATAAATTCAAGTGGTCTTGTTCTTTATTTTAAATTCAAGCAGATCCAGATACAGGTTGAGAAGTATATTCGCAAACCACTGGATATAGAATGAATCACATATCAGAACAAATGTTCCACTTAATCACTGGAACAAGTCTAGGTAACATAATACACAGACGTAGAACACAGATGAATATGATTACAAAAAACTGAATGCAAATGAAAAACGTATTAACGTATATACAATAACATTTCTCCAGTTTGTAAAAACAATGCAACACCAGTTCTTAAGGAACTCTTAAAATTGTAGGTGTCTGTACAAGCTCTTTTGTAATTTATTAAAAAATTTAATACCAGTGTAGTAAATGCCATTTTGATACAATGATATAGATGAAGTAGGAAAATATAAATTTTCACAATGTCTGGTCTGTACATTATACATATCATATTAATAATAAAAAATTCCTATTCTTTTAAAACAAACAACAGGATTGAAAATATACATTGAGAGTTCAATGGTAAAATCTGTCTAAAGATTCCTACATGAGGACCTACTGCTATATTCTGTCATTAATAGAATAACTCTTTTTTGTAACATAAGTTTTTTGCTATTGGTATATTGACTCCAGAATATAATACCATAAGATAATATAGTATGATATAAGGAGTAATAAATCTGTGGGAACTGCCCACATTCAAGCAAATACCAACATGATACCGGTATTACCAACAGAGATATCAAGAATTGCTGTGCAGCTTCCACCGTTTGGGGCTGACAGACCAGCAGTTTGGTTTGCTCAAGCCTAAGCACAGTTCACTTTGGCCAGCATCAGTAGTGACCAGACCAAGTTCTGCTATGTGATCTCACAGTTGGACCAATGTTATGCTGCAGAAGTAGAGGATATCATCAACTCTCCACAGGAACGAGACCCCCCACACAACACTGAAGACCGAACTGGTGACTCGTCTATCACCCTCAAAAGAGCAACACATCTGTCAGTTCCTTACACTCCAGATGAGACCGCAAACCGTCCCAATTTCTAAGGCAACTCAGGAGTCTCATCCCAGACGTGCCAGAAAACTTCCTCCGCAGCATCTGGTCCAGCTGGCTACCCCCCAACGTAAGGGCCATTCTTGCCGACCAACCTGATGGCGACTTGGATGCAGCAGGCCGCACCACAGCCAGCGCTCACAAGTGTCACGCCACTCCATGACAGCAATGCACTTATGCCGCGGATCGAGGACCTCTCTCGCCAGGTGGCAGCACTCAGTACTGATTGACCCACCTTCTCTCCAACAAAATGAATCCCTGCCCCAGCTTCAGAAACCACTGCTTGGACAGCAGATCTCCTTCCTGATACAACGCTACACCCACCCTCTGCTGGTACCATCGCCACTACGGAGCCCGAGCACATTAGTGTATACAGCCCTGCTCCTAATGCCAACAAGAAAAACTATTGCAGTGGACATCAACGGCGGCACATATCCCGGTCTTGAGGAACACGAACGGTATCTACGGTCTCCTCTCGACCGACTTCGGAGGTATGGAATTCTCATCAACCCAGTGATAGGAATCATCTGAGCACCCAAGATCACCTTCCTTGGTTACAAAGCCTCTGCTGAGGGGTCCCAACTGCTGGGAGAATGATTAATCTGTCTACAAAATGGCCAACCTCCCAAAACTGCCAGTCAGCTCTGCCATTTCCTGGGCAGGCTGAACTACTACAGGCAATTTCTGCCCCACGCAGCAGTATGCCAGGCACCACATCACGACATCATCTGCGGACCCAAAGTCAAAGAGTTCCCACCCCACCACTTGGACACTGGAGCTACAAAAGTCCTTCGAAAAGTGCAAGGAAAGTTTGTTACGCACCACTCTACTGGCACACCTTGACATATTCAGGCCACTTGTACTTGTCACAGATGCCTCCACATCTGCCATGGGTGCCATGTTGCAGCAACGCGTCAAGAACCCCTGGCAGCCCCTCACCTTCTACCCCAAGAAAATCAACCCTGAGGTGAAACTACCAACTGCACCACCTCCACCTTCAACCGCGCAGCTGACATAGCACCGGCCACGGCACCACCACCACCACCACCACCACCACCACCACCACCACCACCACCACCCGTCGCACGAACTATATGCTCTGGATGCAACGTATGTTTCCCTGCTCGCTTCAGCAGCCGAGCTACTATCTCCGCGGGGGGGAGGGGGGTGATGTGGGAACTGCCCACATTCAAGCAAATGTTACAGTGACAATGCAAGTATCATTGCTTAGCAATGACGAGTAAACAGCTGTTGCTAGGCAAAGAACACAACAATATGGACAGTGACATGTTTTCTATGCTGTCCGATGCAGTGTTATATATGAGGAAGATATGGCAATGGAGGCGGGGTCGAATACCTCCACCGTTACCCTGCAAGTCGTACGAGGCAATGAAAAGGGAAGTCTCAATTCTGAGACAGCAAAATATGGTCATGAGTCCCAAGGGACTCGGAACCAAGTAAGACTGTCATGTTCATGGTATAGGACAAGGTTAAGCCAGACACAGAAAATATAAGAGGCTTAAACTTGGCGGTGGTCAAGCTTATGACCGTTCAAATTACTAAGTTTTCATTGTAGCATAAGATCTGTAAGTTAGGAATGATCTGCTCTGTAAAGCCTGTACTGACAGAGGACTTGTGTAAAGCAAAGCGTTTTCGATAACATATATGTGCAAAATATACACTTGACGAAAGGTCGAATGTATTCATAAGAGAGAGACCCATCTTCTCGTCAGAGAGGATGTTACATAAGGACTACTGCCGCAAGAGTTCAGTTGGATAACAAAATCTCTGGTCATGGGCCTCAAGGGGCCTGATGCCAAGACAAACTGACTGGCAGTAAACTGCCAGTCGTAAAGTAACTCTGACTATAAAGAAGTGTGGTGTGGGTGTTGGAAGCAGTGTCATTGTTGGTACTATACTTCAATTCTTCAAACTCAAGTTCATCTCTGTATACTGTGCAACTTATAATAAATATTATAAAACAGTTCAACAAGTGGTTGTCTCTTCATATAATGACATCTCACAAATCATTACCAGTGAGGAAAGAGAAACAAAAGGTTTGACTGATCTGACCATATAACAAACTCTCGTTAATTTGTTTAAAACATTGTCAATATGCAAATTCCAGGATAATGTGTTATCCATTACCAGACCAAGAAATTTAAAGTGAGAAACCTCAGTGAGTACATTATTGTTACAGGTATCAGTTAATACAGAATTTTTGTCATAAATTGCATACAGTGTATCTTTAAAAAATTAACAGATAATAAATTTGATTTGAACCAGCTATAGACTATTTGAAGAGTTCCACTTAGATTAATATCTAGAATATCAAGTTTTTTATCTGTAACTATTAAACTAGTATCGTCAGCAAAAAGAATGAGCATAGCTGATCCATCAATGGCCCAGGGGAGATCACTGATATACAGTAAAAACAACAGAGGTCCCAGTACAAAGCCCTGAGGAACACCATATCGAATCTCAGACCAATTCAATACTACATTATAGTGAGTTAAATTATCTTTCAAAAACACACGCTGATATCTCTCTCTTGGGTATTGGGAATAAAAGTTCTTGGAAACTCCTGTAATTCCATATATTTCCAATCTGTGTAAAGGATGTTGTGGTTGACACAGTCACAAACCTTCTCAATATCACAAAAGATCCCTTAGCTTTAGCTTTATTATTTAAAGCAGTAAGAATTTTATTTAAAAGTGAATAAACAGAATTGTCTATCAATAAACTTTGTGAAAACCATATTGATTATGATTTAGAATAGCATATTTTTAAGATGATTCAGGAGTCTATTAAACATTACTTTTTCCACAATTTTGGAGAAGGATGTTCACAAAGAAATAGGTCTATAACTTGATATTAATAATTTATCACCTTTTTATAGAGGCTTTATTACTGAATATTTTAGTCTCAGAAAATGTACCAGATTGCATTATTTTGTTGCAAATGTAATTTAAAGGTGAACTTATGTAGGGTGCACACAATTTTAACATTCTCAGAGATATTTGGTCATAGCCACAGGGATCTTTTCTTTCAAACGAGGTAATAATTTTTTCAGTTTCATTTATCATGGATAGTTTATTACGAATAGTAAGATAATTATTTGTGATAGCCTGTTCCATAAATGACAATTAGTCAGTAGCTGGTGCATTACATTGTTTACTATTTACTGAATTAGTTAATTTATTTGCTATAGAAATAAAATAATCGTTAATTAGTTCAGCAACATTTGGACCATTAAACTTCTCAATTAAGTACTGTGTATCTTCATGCTTTGAAGTTCTACCTGTCTCCGTATGGATGATTTTCCAGGTAGTGTTCAGTTTATTATGCGACTTTTTAATACAATTATCGTATGCCATTTTCTTGGCTGCAATTATAACCTAAAAAATAAAAAGCAAAGTAAAGCTATCCCTGTAACAGGACGTGAAGGCCCATAGGGTTGCGAGACGTTGAGGGTCCCACATTATCTAGACACTTGGCTCAAAGATGGCAGTAAGGTCATCAGCCTTATGCACCGGCTGCGCTTTACTCCCAAGGATAATTATTTCATTAATTCCTGGTACTCATTTCTGTTAGAGGCTGAGTGGACCCCAGGGCCATAGTGCAGCTGGAAGGGTTAGGTCAACTGAAAAAATCCAATGACCTCATCGGATCTTGAACCCCTGACCTTCCAACTTGTAGTATAGTGCCCCCGCAATTATAACCTTATTTAATATTTTACAATACCTATTGTAATATACCTTTATAAATAAACTGTCATTTTTCCATAAAGTATAAATCCTTTTTGCGTTGGCAAGAGTTTCTTATACCAAGTGTAATCCAATTTATACTAGTGTTGGCACTAACTTCGCCGACAAGCGGTGGTCGCTCAGTCGGTATAGTTCGCTTGTGGACTAAAAACACGGAGTTTGTTTTTTTTTGTCTTTGTTATATATTTATTTACTATAGGAAAAATGGAGTTAAAAGTTCTCAAATGTGTGTTCAAAGAATAATTAAATATGAGATTCACATTATTCTCACCAAAAATAGTAACCCAATTCTCATAACTTAATTGCTTTTGGAAATCAGCAATTGTAAAATTATCAAGTTTCCTATAGGAGTAAGTATGGTGTGCTTTCTTATGTAATAATGGGAGGCCTATGGTGAGTAATTCACCTTCATGATCAGACAACCAATTGTGTAGAAATGAGACAAAAAAATTTCTATCTTTAGAAGTAGCCACAAAGATATTATCAATGGCAGTACTTTTACATCTACATATTCTAGTGGGAAAGGTAATTGTGTTTACTAAGTTAAAAGTATTAAGTAGGGCATTTAGTTGCTTGACTCTAGTTGACTGTTCTAAATGATTTATATTTATGTCCCCAGAAATTATTAGATAAATTTTAGGATTACAAAGCAATTGTTCTGTGTCATTTGGCAATTACAGTACCTAAGATCACAGATTACTTCAGGTCTGTATTTATTATGTGAAGACATGCAAAGTTGCTACACTCAAATCCCAATTTAGTGAAATCTCATACTAGGTCAATATATTTTGGTCCCAATTGCAGTCAAATATAAATAGTCAATTATTACCCTGTATTTTGATTTAACTTAGTGCAAGAAATTTCTTGGCTTATGTGACAAAAATAACACTTCACATTTTCTCCTTCTGGAAAGTTTTACCACATAATCAATTAGTTTAGAAACTAATCTGGTCCTTTTATGTGACTGTACTGTATTTATTTCTTTAGAAACACTTCCCAGTTGGGGGGGGGGGTTGATGTAATATGATCTACATACAGCAAATCAGGTAAAATAAAAACCCTACTGACAGATGGCTTATGGGCTCACACCCTACTGTAAAAATGCTCAATACTGAACAAATATCATTAACAGCAGGTAGAAAGGCACAGCAAATATACCCTGGGATGCAAAGTATTGCCAATGATGTGCAACATGGACATGTAGTACCCAAATGCATATATGACATTTAATTTTATTTATGTATATGATTTGTTTAATAATGGTGTCATTAGCTTAGACTATATAGTGTCAAATGATACAATGATAAGTGAACTGCAAAGGATGTATAAGGAAGTCATCATGGACTGATTTGGGGTACTATCCTGGCATTTGCCTGGAAGGACCAACAAAAACCACAGAAATAAATCGGTCAGGGTAGCTGGTGTTTGGACCAAGATCTGAAACCAGACATCCCAAGTACAAATAAGGAGTGCTGCAAGCTCAACCATGAAGTCTGATACACAGTGTATAGCTCTAAAGCAGAAGTGGGACTCTGCCAAATGAGTCTTGCATCCTGTGTGAAGCAGATTCCACACGTACTACAAATTATCAGCATGTCATGCTTATGCAATCGTCTTCCACCCATCTCTGGAGCTGGTAAAGGGAGAGATGCAGTCCTTCATCCCATATTCATAGTGCGCAAGTCTTAGACACACTCATTTTATCCGGAACTATAGTATTTTAGTCATGAGTGGAGCTCCTCCATACCATCTTGAAAAATAACATGGCACAGTCAGAAAGTTCTAAAAGTGCTCCACATGGCACATTCTTCATGTAACCTCCCTCTCCTCACCACTGAATGACATGTATTAAATGACAAGGTGAGATCTGTACTGGAAGCACAAGAGCTGATGGTGATGGCACCATTTTTCTCACAGAAAATGGAGCACAGTATGGCCAACACGATATATAAAGCTTTCTGCAACCTGAAATTGCTATGTGCTGGCACACTCTTTACTCCCCAGTGTCATTACTCATGTTAATTACTCTTTGGTTGCTTGGGTGGCAGAATCACACCAGAGACTCCAGTTTGGATCTACAGATATCGTCAACATGGATGTGAAGGTAACGGTAAAGCTGTCCCTCCATTAAATTAAGCACCATGCCATGAAGATGTACAGGATGAGAAAGAGATCCATCTATTCTAAATCTTGACATCAGATTGAGGTACGTCACCCACCACTTTATCTGAGGTTCAGAATGGATATGAGGCTTGATGGGTCCCAGAGCCAGTATAGGTGCAATGAGGAAGGAAAAAATCATACCATCAAATGATAGGATATGTGGCTATAAATTTTAAGACAGCCCAGCTGAACTTGAGGCCAACATCTTAATCCAGGACCTTGGACATACAAAGCAGAATCACTACCCGCATGATTACGATGACAGGAAAACAATCGGAGAGAACTGTACCTTCTTGGTGGTGATTATGTTGAGTTGGGGGGGCAGATGGAAGTAAATTACTACATATCCCTTGTTTTCACTTATTACTTCTGCATTCTGTACAGATCATCTTCAAGAAACTTCTGAAATGCATACTGTATATCTCCAATGGAATGGATATATTAATTCAAAGTGCAGGGCCAGATGCTTGTAAGCAAGGCTACAAGTAAGGCACTGGCACGTATCAAACTATATGGCATCACATTCCAGAAGATATAATCTTAATACCTGTGTGTGAACCTCAAATCTATCATGTTTGCTATTCTCTATGGCTGCTACCAAATTCAAGTCCTACCTGGTACCACCATAGAAACTCACCTGTTACAGTAACACTACCAGTTGAGAAGATTTTAAGAGTTGCTTTGGGTTGAGTCAGTTTGTATGTCACACCAGGGTGAAGTTCTGGCTCGTAACTAGAAAGAAAGTATCATTTGCCTGAAAATACATTAATGTAACATAATAAAATCACTAGTGAAGACATGCTGAGATTTTCACCACTTCACTAACATAAATCTCACTGTTCCAAAGAAGGAAAACATTCTTTTCTCTGAAGTTTTAAGAGGTTAAAACCTTAGTTTTGGTTCACAAGATCAATATATTTAATAAATTATTATAACATATTAAACATAACACTATATCAATTTGACATTTTTTATGGAATTTAGGTGCTCTATTCAAATCATAACAAACTAACAAAAACTCCGTGGCTTTAGTCTGCAAAGGACCTATACCGACTGAGTGACCACTGCTTGTCAGCAAAGTTAGTGCCAACTTTAACGGATATAGGATGTTGCGTGGTCAGCAAAATGAACATCAACGGCCATTAATTTCAGTTTTCTAGACCAGAACCACTATTTTTCCATTGAAGAAGCTCCTCAATTATCCTCACAAGGCTGACTGGACCCTGTTCCAGACCCACTATTTCTCAGAAAATCAGGTAGCACCAGGAATCGAACCCAGAATGTCTGGATCTGACTAGACCACAGGGTCAGTCCTATTCAAATCATAACATTTACTAATTACATGTGAACTGAATTTATGATTTTGGTATTGCTCCTTGTTATATATCTTCGTTTGTGTAAATTTAAATTCAAAATATGTTTTGTTACCTCATCCTGTTCCTTTATCAAACCAGTAACACAGAATTGTATTTCTACGCACTACTGCAAGTTAAACATTTGTGATCTGACATTTCAAGAGTTAACACATAAAACAATGACCAATAATCCCATACATTTAATGAAATAAAAGAAATTTTTTTTTTACTGATATTCCATTAAACAAGTAATTATAATAAAGGTAGGAATTCCTACATCAGAACTTCACTTCTTTACAAGAAATATATTTCTTGCATTTTCATGCTCAGCTTTAACCTCAAAGTTCAAAACAAACAATGAACCAAAAAATATGCTCCTATTAACTCTTGACAAGTTGACTAGGATGAATCAACTGTTTGACAGTATGTACTGGAAGAACAAAGCACCAACAGAAGCTATTATGAATGATTGAACAGTTCTTCTAATCAACTATACTTACTGTAATGTAGGTACAATAGAAATTCTCTCGATGTCTAATCATGAAATGGCACTTAACAGAAAAATCCACTCTATCAGACAAAACTCCTTCACAATTAATACTAATTATGTAAAGGTGGTTTAATTTTGAATGAATGCTTTCTAAGACAGGAGGAATAAACAAATCATAAAACTAACAAAATTACAAGATGGTTCTTACTCTGCATTTTCTTTGTATCGTTCTGAAAAAGCTGTAATTTTGATTGCAAAGGGCATGGAACACGTCCCCAGCACATTGACTACCCTAAAATTAGTAAATCGTGCTTTAAAGCCAAGTTTCTGCAAACATCGAGCAAACCGCCTTGCTGCAATTTTTGCTTGCTCTTCACTAGTAGCTCCAGTACATGTTACTTTCCCTGATGACCACATAGAGGCAGTTGTGTACGGTTTCCTCAATTTCATCGTGATCATCTGCACAAAAGAGAGGAAAACATAATTCTTAAGAAAAAGTGTACTCCAGTTACAGGACACGGAAGATTACAAACATGTTCTCTGCAATTCCACATCCAACATTAATCTTGACAGTCATTTAATAAAAAGAGAAATCTAGTACTGAAAGGTAATCAGCAGTAGAGTTCACGGTTATTGTCTCCTGGGATACGATGTCATGTAGTCCAGTAGAAAGGTTTCATTTGATATGCTATTTCTGTCTTCAGGGTAGAAGAATCTACCTGCACAAAATCATACTCCAGATGTCATCTTCATATTCACAATTGGATCCTCTAATAAAGTTCACCATAAGGCCAATTCCTGACATAACAATACATTACAGTTCTTGAGACCATAACCTATTTCTCAAATATCAATTTTAGTATGATCTAAATCCTGCATATGACAATTGCTACAGAAGATAATTATACTTGCCACAGAACAGATTTACACAAAGTTCTACATTAATTTTTTCCAGCAGAATGTAAAGCACATCCCTTGTCACCATAAAATGTCATCATATTGCAGACAGAGGAAATGGTCAACAAGTATGATCATTAGCTGCAAATATAATTAAAAGCTAAGGGCTGTCATCTAGCCTGCAAGCTGGGCTGTGATAAAACTTAACCATAAACAATCCACATTAAAAAATTCAGGACAATCAAATTCTTTTAGAATGACAACAGTGATATCTGAAGGATACAAATAATTGGAAACTGGGTTTTTCAGTCAATAAAAATCTCAGAACTGCAGTTAAAACAGTAGAGTCTGCTGAGTGAGTTATTCAGTTTGTAATCCTTCACTACTGATGGTAGATTAATACTACTGTAAATGTGCATGCCTGAATGAAAATAAGAGTCATGAAAAGGGCAGATTTTATGACAAATCTGATCACTTCTGCAGACACATTTTGAAAACTACTACAGTAAAAGCTGTGACACCTGGCACTGTATGGCCTGAAAGGTTCTATTAATCACAAATTGGAAGGGAAGTTTGTATTACATTATTTAAGTTGCTCAAAGGAGACTACTAATGGGGTCAATTTACATAACCAAACAGTATCATTGCGAACATCAGAATATGTAACTCTGTGCTGTGAAAATGATGATTAAGTGTGAAATATTGGTATATTTTGCATGACTTCATACTTTTAAATTGGCAAGCTAGCTCAAGTGGTAATATCTATGACCTGTATTCACGAGTTCTCAGTTCAAAACTAGGACACTCACTATCTTCCTACTAAGAATTTTTGTGATTTTCCTCAGTCCCTCCAGAGGATTGCCAGGACTGTACCTCAAAGAGGGTATTATTACTTCTCCCACATCCTTTCTGCGTCATTATTCAATACCATTTGACACTATAAAATGTGGGATACAGACAATGTGTTTTAATAAATCACAACTAAAACAGAATATAAAATCTAATTTTTTGAGCTTGTATTCATTCAAGCTGATTCACTGGCCTTCACTTTTTTAAATTAATTTCAGTCATTTAAAAAATTCCATATATTTGTAATCGCAAATTATGTCTAATGCATACAGAAGAAAGTCATCTATACTAACATCACAGGCTATTTAACAGTATTACAAAAGGAAGGTATAAATGTTTAATGCATATTACAGTGCTGCATTAACAATGAATGAAATGTGACAGGATCACAAGTGCCTTTGTCAGGAAGATGGTATGCTGCACTTTATTGCGTCAGAGCAGCACTTTTCTGGAGTTAATAAGGAAATTTCTCAAACAGACTCAGTGAGGACAGCTCTCTGTGAGCATTTAAAAATCGTTATCTCCTACTTATATATCAAAAGTGTTACACATTATACGAACAAGAGCATATAAAAATGTAATAGGAAACCAATGCCAATTCATTAAGCTGATGGAAAGTTCACTGCCTTGCACACAATTTTCATGCAATATTACACACACATAAGATCTAAGAGTTTATGATGATGGTACATTAACAGAAATATGTTTCTGGACATAATCCACCATCCTGCTTTTATTTAAAATACAACATTTCGATGACTGGATTCTGTCTCCAACTCTAGGGAAAACATATTCAGTTTGGCCCAAGTGATAGAGCTAGTCTGTACCTCCAGACTAGCTCTATTGATCGGCCCAAACTGAGTAGGTTTTACCTGAAGATGGAGACAGAATCCAGTCTCAGAAACGCTGTGTTTTAAATAAAAACAGGATGATGGATAATGTCCAGAAACATAACATTTGAACATTACATGTTATCTCTGGATTAAAAAATATGTGATTCCAGGTGTGTCAGATCATATTGAAGTACAACAAATCAAGTTCAGAAGTGAAAGGATGTTTAACAAGCGACTTCCTTTCTTGTACAAGAAAAAATGCAAAGGTTACTTGAAAGCTAAATGAAATCCTACTATGCATGATGAAATGAAAGAAACTGGGCAGGAAGTGGTCATGCCCTATTTCAAATACAATACTGGAATTTGCCTATGACTGAGAAAAACTATCAAAATCCTGTCAGGATGGTCAAAAATGCCATAAAATTAAACAGGAGCTCCAAAAGTGAAGTTTTTGATACAGAAATACACATATAACTTAGATTTCCATTGCAGTGCTTGTTCAGATTGTGGTCTTCTGGGATGTGACAGTATGTAGTTTTATATGTGGATACCACTGTTTCGAAGGAACATGGGGCCTCCACCTTCAGGGTAACATGCATCTTTCCTGCAACCTGCCTGTATAATTTAACATTCTTATCCTACACACTTAAACCCCAAGATGGAGGCAGCCTGTCCCTAAAAAATGCTTGTATCCTGTTACAGCACTAGATGGTATCACAACACAAATGCTTGTATCTTCTTACAGCACTAGATGGTATCACAACACAAATGTTTGTATCCTCTTACAGCACTAGATGGTATCACAACACAAATGCTTGTATCCTCTTACAGCACTAAATGGCATCACAACACAAACACTTGTATCCTCTTACAGCACTAAATGGCATCACAACACAAATGCTTGTATCCTCTTACGGCACTAGATGGTATCACAACACAAACTTCTTCAAAATCCCTACCTCAAAAAAAAAAAAAGTTTTCTAAAAACCGTCACAATTTTACTAAGAAAAAGCAATGTTGCTACTCATACAATTTTTTCTTGTAAAGGTTGTGTACAAAAACACACTTCATTAAAGAAACCAAACCTCTCATTCTTCAGATGGCAACACAGCAACACAATGTCTATTTTCTGGTTCACCAGAAAACAATTCAGATACCTTTCTATTATAACAATCAGCAGTTGAGTGATTTGGTCCTCAAGTACACAATGAAGGCCAAAAGACTCTTTATAAATTTCTTTAATAGCTTTTACTTCAACATCACCACCATACACTCGTCTTTCCCTTGTACATACTGTAATGTTCCTTTGCATCAATATGCAGGCATGCCTCGGCCATGGTCAATATGTGCTTTGTGTACTACAAGAAGCAAAGTAAGGCAAAGTTTTTCCCGTGCTTAACTAATTAAGCACTATGCCAAGAAGGCATATGGGGGAGTGGATGTATAGATCCAACATTTTTCTTGACCTTGGCACTAGTTGGAGGTGTGTGTTCTGCTTCACGCCCCTGGGAAGGAGCCCCTGATACCCACTGGATAGGGGATAGGAGGCTGGGTGGGTCCCAAAACCAGTAGGGATGATGTGGAGAAGAAAAAGTTCTTCACCCTACCAGGACTTGAACTCCGACCCCTTGGGCTGTCCAGCCCATAGCCAGTTAAAGTAGAAAAGTTTCCACACCCAGACAAGGAATTAGCAGTCTAGCAACTGACATGAAATTAACTGACTGACTGCTGAACAAAACCATTCTTTTAAAACAGGAGTTATGAAATTAAGGGACAACATAGCAGATGAAAATCTCTACAGTACTAATACGTATGCAACCACTGCTTATCGTACAAAATCTACAATGAGTTCTTTTTGAGATGCAAAGGATACTGTTAACTTAATGGCAAATGGAAAAACCAAAAGTGAAAACAACAATTTGCAGTTAATCAGAATGGATGAAACTTACTGTAAAATCAAATCATCTCAGTTGTTTACAGAACACTTGTACTGACAAGCAAATATATACTCCTTACCTTCTGCTGACACAGCAATACAAAAAATGGTGTCCTTTTCTATAAACCTGAAATCCTGTAAGAGCCAACAGTACAGTAAATCTTTTAATGTTCATTCTATAAAATAATCTGAACAGTTCTGGACCACTGTTCAGAATGAAGTACTTCTGGAACAATGTATTCACCATATCTTAAACTGTCATGGAAGGATGCATATACTCAGTATTTTCTACTCACTTTTCCTCAACTCCTAAGCCACCTCAAGCGGCACCAAAAAAGTGTAATTATTATTATTTCACATTAGAACCCACATACTTACTCCACGGAGCTGACTCCTCCTTGAGAAGCCACCAGTCACTTAGCTACTCAAGAATTTCCCAATATTTTATGGAACCCAAAGGTTCATTTACCATGCCCACAAAAGCCTTTCACTGGCCCCTGTCCTGTGCCAGATAAATCTACTCCATATTAGGTGCATAAAACTGAAAATTATCAACCTGCTTTATGATAAACACATCCACCTACAGGAGAGCAAGACTAAATGTGTCCTCAGTGCACATATGCCCCCCAAGAAATCGGTTTTTTGAATGTGTTGCACAGCAGGTTTCATTGTTCTTAGTGAATCAAGCCTAACATTCCCTTTACAAACTACTCTTAATATCAGACTTTTTCCACCTCTTCCAAATTCAAACACCAATGGTCCAATTCAAGCCTGTAGCTAAGTTCACTCAAACCTTAAGCTATAAAACTGGACAAAGAAGGAAACAGTAAATTACTGTGGAATTTTTAGGAGATACACCACTGAATTAAGAATGCAATTAGTGGTATATCATTCAGAATGATGGGTAGCATCACATGTCCTGAGCCACAATGTACTGGGGCATATCATATCATTTACTCTCTACAGTCACAGCAGACTTTTCATTCAAACCTTCTGCACTGCTGCCTGACTCCCTGCACCATCAGCCGATTGTGTATATGATCAACAAGGACGATACCATGGTGAGGTGACAGCCAAGGCATGAGACACACTTTCTGACCATTTAGTAAAACTGCAGGTATTCTAGGTCATTATTCTGTGTATTTTAGAGGTTCATCAGCATCCATGGTTACATGCACCATACAGAAATGAACCTAGAAAAGCTTTTATAACCCCCCCCCCAAAAAAAAATAAACTCCATGGTTTTAGTCCGCAAGAGAACTGTACCAAATGAGTGACGACCACTTTTTGGCGAAGTTAGTGCCAACTTTAGTGGACAGAGGGTGTCGTGTGGTCAGCACAACAGATCCCCATGGCTTGGTTTTCTAGACCAGAGCCGCTATTTCCTTGAAATAGCTCCTCAATTATCCTCACAAGGCTGAGTGCAACCCGTTCCAGGCCCATTAATTCTCAGAAAATCTGGTAGTACCGGGAATCGAACCCTGGCCTCTGGATCTGTGGCCAGGAACTCTGACCACTAGATGACAGAGGCAGTCAAGCTTCTATACAGGGTGTCCCAGGAGGAATGGACCAAACTTCAGGAGGGTGTTCCATATGTTGAAGTATGCCGATATAACCCAAAACACCTATGTCCAAAGTTGAACGGTTACAGAGATAATGGCCCGAGAAAAGTGTGGTCTTCTGGCGAGTCCACGCACTGTACCTGCCAGCTGGCATGTCTTATCTAAGTTTGTCCTTGAGTGCGGCGATTCACCCTAGCCGTACTTATGTAGTGGGCTTATACCAGAATGCGCAGTGTCATGTTACGTCAGCGCTTGCCATTCATGCGTCATGTATAGTGCTTGGAAACCCTAAGGACAATTATGACATGGCGAGCGAGTATTTTGTACTTCAATTTTATGGCTTCATGTCACTCACAAGTTAGTTTGATGTTATGTACATTATTAACATTACAGAATCCACATATTCCTGCCAGTTTTAATATGTATTTTGTAATCAACAGGTGTGTAACACCAGTCAAAGTTTGACACTTCTCTGGCCATTATCTCCGCAACTGTTCAACTTTGGACATAGGTGTTTTGGGTTATATCGGCATACTTTAACATAAGGAACACCCTCCCGAAGTTTGGTCCATTCCTCCTGGGACATCCTGTATAACACCGAAAATATTAATTAAAAACAGACCTCTGTCAGACTGTAATATGGTTTAACAGTAAGAACAGCAATAAATATCATATTAAAATCCTTACAAAATAGGTTGTACATGAGCCTGCTAGGTTATCATCCACAATACACCTCACTTTGAACACAAAAAAACATGCAATCATCCACAATCTTGCCATATGCCTCTTCATGCAACATTTCATTTATGAAAATTAATGAATCAACTACTTTTGCGAATAAACAGTCTCAGACATTACCTGCTGCTATTATGAATGGACTGATATTTAGATAAACTTCTTTGCAGAGTATCCAAAACAATGTTGTCACATGCATACAGGCAAAACTTGCTAGTCTTATGTGAAGTGAACTGCATACAAATGACAATGGAACTATTTACTTAGATATGGTAGTTATTACACAATTAATTCTTGGGGTCTATTTGCTTCCAGATGGAGAAGTTCTGGACAATGGCAATCTGTAGCTGACTTGCATGAATGCATGAATGACATCAATGATTCACTGTGTCACTTGGAAATGACTTACAGAATTTCTTTTGTATCCTGTTTCCAAAATAAAAAAATGAATATATTACACCAAAACATTATGATGAACATTAAACATATAAATAAATCAAACATGCAGTTCAACTTCCGAATACAATCCTTTATGTCCTGCTGATTTTGAAAACACACAAAAAGAAATCTTGAATCTGAGAACTGGTACAAGATATATGGCTAAAAGTTATGTAGGCTAGTGTCTATATTGCTGTAGAAATTGCCCCTGAAATTTATTTTTTTTTTTCTAATTGAAATGATATCATTATAGCCACACTAACACAGTCCATGTACATTTACATTATGGAAATAGGTCAAACGAAATAAACATGTTCTTCATTCTATTTTGGCCAGTAGGCACATACCCTTACATTTGTTTCATTTTTGGACATTCACCACATGTTTCTACCTACAGCTATGCAATGAAACTGATATGAAATTATCTGGCAACGTATAAACCTCCCATCTGCAGCCAAGACAGTGTAATGCTACTAAGCAACTTTCTGAAACATAGGATTTGAGGTTCTCAATGGACTACATGGCACTATATCCCAGAAGACAGAACACTTCAACTTTCTGAAATTCTAACCGATTTGGGTTCTCATAAAGAAGGCGAGTCTGATGAACCAGACAATACATTGTGGCCAGAATTTGATTCTGCATAGTACAATCATATAACTAAGGGACGTAAACTTCCTTCCCAGTACCCAATGGATGGCAAAAGAACCAAATGTTTTTACAATAAAGTGTGTTATCTCTAATTACATTTCCTTCTGTTGGGATATGCAGCTTTTACATTAACACATAATGGGTCACATTATGTAAGACACATGGGAACATATTTACGTGCATGGCATTTGCAGGTACACTTCACCTGAACTGTCAACAAACCTAAAACACCAGAACATCACAAAGCATTTCACAGTATGCACTTAAACAGAGGTCAAAAATAGGTCGACTGGAAGGGGGGATTAATTTCTCACTGTGTTCAGGAGTTTGTTTTGGGCATCTGGAACTCTCAAAGAAAAATGACATATTGAAATTATTAACAATTCATAACAGTTGATCTTTCTTTTAAATTTGATTTTTCCCCCCATTATCTTCTGGCCTGTGAGCATTTAGGACAAACAGTACGATGGGAAGTCATAATGTTTTAATTATCACCATGAGAAAATCATAATTCTAAAATATCGTTCTATAAAGGAGACAGCCCATTTCCTGAGCTTGCCGAACAGTCAAATTTTCCCGCGCCAAGTGGACAGAAGGGAAAGAGCAGTAGCAAAATGGCAATGTCAGTTGAGAAAGTGGACGCTCATGCTGTGATACGGTTCCTGCATTTGCAAGGGAAGTCTAGAGATCCACGACCAGATGACCGCTGTGTATCAGGTAGGTGTACCATCATATGACAGTGGTCAGGTGGAAGAGGCGCTTTCAATGTGGATAGACAAACCTTGAAGATGAACCCTGAAGTGGAAGACCATCTTTCGCCGAGGAAGTGGGAATTGTGGCCCAGGTGGAAAGCTTTGATCCTATCCGATAGGTGCATAACTATCAAAGTTATTGTTCATGAGGTCCGCATTACCCATGGGTCGGTTTTCAGCATTATCCATGGTGAGTTACACGTGACAAAGGTCGCTGCGCGTTGGGTGCCACGATTGTTGACACTAGTTCAAAAAAAGCAATTAATGGATGTGGCAAAGAAACTTTTGCAGTTGTGGCAAGACGAAAAGGTGGAATTTTTCGACCACCTGATCACAATGGATGAAGGTTGGGTCTATCATTATGACCCTGAAACAAAGGTAATGAGCAAGCAGTGGAAACATGCAGATTCGCTGCCGCCAAAGAAGGCCAAATCCCAGCTGTCGTCAGGAAAGGTGATGTTGAGTGTGTTCCGGGATCAGCAGGGTGTCATCATAAACGACTAAGCGCAAAAGGGTGTCACCATCACTGGCAAGTACTACTGGAACCTGTGAGAAAATTACAGGAGGAAATCCTGGTACCATGCGACTTCTTCCTCTTTCCATGGCTAAAGAAGCCACTTTGTGGTAAGCGATTCCAAGACGATGACGTCATTTCTGCAGTGGAGGACTTCTAGACAGTCAAAATGAGACCTTCTATGATCAATGTATCCAGCAGCTAATGCACACTGGGGAAAATGTGTGGCCCTGCAGGGGACATATGTAGAGAAGGACTAACTCACATACAGTTTCTTGCACCTGTGTCTGTTTCTTCAGGGTGATAATTAAAATTTTATGACTTCCCCACGTATACAGAAAAAAATTAATTCTGTATGCCCAACACAGGCAAGAGTCACAGGAAGATACCAGAATGAATGTGATCCATCTTTTTTTCTGGTGACCAAAATCTGCCTGGCAACCAGATATTCAAAACCTTTTTGAACTCTGCATGTAAATTATAAACACAGTAAACACACCCCATTCTCTCTTCTGTACTCCACATTAGCACCATTTAATGCAATCTGTCTGAGATTCAGGTGACATCGAACACTAAAGCTGCAGACCACATTGTTGATAACTATGTCTATTTCTGGAGACTCTGCTTCAGAAGATATTTCTCCAGTAGTAGAACTGTTGGTAGTGATGTCACTAGATTCAACATGTTCTTCATTCACTTTAACATGATTAATATTGCCATTTGCTAGTGATTCAATTCCATTATTTTGTATTGCTGTGGCCATCATACCAACACACTTGCCTGCAACAAATAATTATGTATGATTCAATAAAATTAGATATAGCTGTTCATACAAAAGCTCAGTTACTCCTCTACTATCTTCATTCTAGAAGGATGTGCAGGTTGACAGCAGGACCATGTCTGCAATCCTCTATTAGTAATAACATTTTAATAAATGGATATTTTTCCAAGATTCCAACATCTCCTGTAAACTGTGTAAATTTTGTTTGTATGGATATATCTTGGGAGCACGCGGTAGCATAGTGGTTGAGGTGCTATGCTACAAGCCGGAAGGTCGCGGGTTCAAATCAGAATGAGGTCATTGGATTTTTTTCAGATGACCTAATCCTTCCAGCCGCACTTGGCCCTGAAGTTTACTCAGCCTCTAACAGAAATGAATTAATTAAATAATTTTCCTGGGGAGTAAAGTGCGGCCGGCGCGTAAGGCTGACAACCTTACTGCCATCTTTGAGCTGATTGTCTAGATAATGTGGGACCCTCAACGTCTCGCAACCCTATGGGCCTTCACAGCCTGGTACAGGGATAGCTTTGCTTTTGCTTTTTGGATATTTCTCATTATATGCGAATTTGAAAATGTGACTTTACTTCAATGAAATCAACTAATTCAGACTTGTTTCAATTAATAGTGCTCACTTTAATTCAGACTTTAATGCCAACTGCTGGCTGACCTACTGACAGAGGTGAGAAGGGAAAATTGTGTTTATGTGACTTCACCCACTGTGACTTTTCTTTGGAACACACTTATCACACAAATCATGATATACCTTTAATCTGTTATGCTACAGTCTTGTAAATTTCATTAGAAGTCCGAATTTTAGTGGTCCAACTGGATGGGAAAGTGCCAGACTCTACCACTCACTCAGTTCAAGAGATTGCAAATTCTATAAGATGATCAAGAGGCAGAAAATGGCAGTTGTGTGAAACTCTGCATGATGAATTTTAAAGAAATACAGGGCCTTCTTAAGGATACATCAAAAACACAAAAGCAATATCTAACCTGAGACCTGAAGCATCGAGCACTGAAATGAGGTATATAAAGCCTGGAATGGAGAATTTTCATACTGTAGCTGACATAAATTATTAGATAATACAAAATTATACTAGAGGAATTTATATAAAGAAATAAATAAGTACAGGGACTTTTTTCAGTAACTTGATGAGTTCATGTCTCCACGCTTCACGGCAATCAGTGCACTGCTTGCTGTGAGGCACATGTGAATTTTGTTGATGAATCACCAGGCCTGACGGTTGATAACGTTTGGAATGAAGTAGTTATCATCTGCAGATCACAGGAGGTGTTGAAAATGCTGTCATCTCTACACTCAGATATTTTTCACAATTGTTTAATTAAAAAACACAGGTAAAACAATCCTTCTTGCACTTAGAGCAAATCAAACATCAACTTTCACTGGATGGCTTGAGCAACTGTGTTGCTGTTCTCGCACCAGACTTTGACACTCCAATCTATTGAAGTAGAATTTTCAGCGATTTTCTAGGTGTATGTTCAAGTCTGGTCACTACATCATCTAACTTCTCCTCAGTAAGCACGCGACACTTATGTTTCTGTTTCTTGTCTATTAACACTTTGCAGACCGGATGCCTAGGCCTAGGCGTTTGGGTTTTAAACATGGCAAAATGGACAAAGTGGCACTGGGGCAGGTTTTCACAGAGTACTTTCAGTTTCCTCTGCCAATTTTCATTCCACCAATTGCTCCTCAATCACCCTCACCTATCATCTGGGGCTGGTACAATAGGCCACAAGTGGCCGCAGTACAAGGGTACTTAGTTCCACCCCACTAGCAATAAAAAAAGCTTGAGGAATGCAGAAGAGTAAAAGAAGTCAGCATGTGAAGATTAAACGTGTGATCTAAGTACTTTATCTGTGCTTCTAGTACAAACTTTGTCCATAAAGTTCTGAGACTGCAAAAAATACAAAATTCAACTCCTTAACTAATGGTTCCTGTCCCCTTCAAAGTTGTTCCCTCCACAGTCAATACACCGTTGCCAGCTTTCCGCTAATGAATGCCTCTTTCGGAATGGCTGTGAGCTCCGTTGTCGCAGCCGCTTGAATAGCCTCTATATTCTCATGCCGCCATCCCTTTTTTTTCAGTCGTGAAAACAGAAAAAAAGTCGCATGAAGAGAGGTCAGGGGAGTATGGGGGATGTTGAAGCACAGTAACGTTGTGCTGGCGAGAAATCTGTTGACACTTAGAGTGTGTGAACTCGCATTGTCATGCAACAAAGTCGACTGTTTAGATGCCCATACGTCAGGACGATGACGTCGAAGTGCCTCGCACCTATGCCTGAGTACGGAGATAAAATTCTTGGATGACAGTTTGCCCTTGCGGAACAAATTCGTGAACAATACCCCTGGCATCGGGGGGGGGGGAAAGATTATCATAGTCTTTGTTTTCTTTGGATGCTGCCTCACTTTCTTTGACGCCGAAGAACCCGTTGACCGTCATTCAGTGCTTTGCCTCTTCGTCTGAGGGTCGTACTAGAAGCACCATGATTCATCCTCGGCAATGATACTGTTGATGAACGTGGAATCGTTCTGTGCCTCGTGTAACAAATCAGCACAAACTGAGGCTCGCACCTCCTTTTGGTTCTGAGTGTGGGACTAGTTTTCGTTTACCGAAGTTCTCTCGCAAAATTTGGTGGCAGGCAGACTTATTGATATTCAGGGTATCAGTTAAATGCGCACTGTAACCATACGGTCTTTCCATACCATGTCTCTGATGCGAACTATGTTGTCTTCGTTCCGGGAACTCGAAGACCGGCCTGATCTTGTGTCATCCTCCACCGACACGAACCGCCTGTGCTACTCAAACACTCGCGCCCGAGATAAAGCTTCATCGTCGTACGCATTACGCAGAAGCTGTAATGTCTCTGTGGCTGTCTGGTCCAGTTTCACACAAAGTTTGATGTTAACTCGCTGTTCAAATTGAACGTTCATTCTTCTCACAGCACAAATCCACAACTGACAATTTACATGTGTTTCCCGCCGCGCCCTGCCTCTTGGCGGAGGTCGAGAGAACTAAAGTCAATCACACAGGCAAGCCGTAAAATGTCCCGTATTTGGAACACCTTTTCCTGGAATTACCACCATCTACGTAAGCTGAGATATTACGCGGTGCGTTCAAGTTCTAAGGTCTCCGATTTTTTTTTCTCACACAATAATCATACAAAAAATTTGAAACTTCTGTCACTTTTCAACCTAATCTCCCTGCAGCCGTACACATTTTTCACAACGTCGACGCCATGATTCCATGGCCGCTGCGAACGCTTCTGTAGGAGTCTGTTTTGACCACTGGAAAATCGCTGATGCAATAGCGGCACGACTGGTGAATGTGCGACCACGGAGAGTGTCTTTTATCTTTGGGAAAAGCCAGAAATCGCTAGAAGCCAGGTCAGTTGAGTAGGGAGCATGAGAAACCACTTCAAGGTTGTTTTCAGGAAGAAACTGCTGCGTCGCGTACGCCCGATGCGCTGGTGCATNAAGTGCTTCCATTGAGCTGACTGGCGCTTGCTTTCAGGATTGAAAAACGGCATCCATGTCTCATCCATTGTCACAATTGATGAAAAGAAAGTCCCATTCATGCCTTCATCATTGCCATGCGTGCAGCCTTGTGGTCGTCCGCCAGAATTCGTGGAACCCACCTGGAGGACACTTTCCGCATTCGCAGGTCTTCATGCAGGATTTTGTGCACAGATCCCACGGAAATGCCAACTTTGGAGGCGATGTTTTAAACACTCAATCGGCGATCCTCCAAAACAACTTTCTCAACTCGCTCGACCATGTTGTCAGACCGGCTGGTGCGAGACCGAGATTGTTTTGGTTCGTTGTCACACGACGTTCGGCCTTCTTTGAACTGTCGAACCCACGAACGCACATTTTTCACATTCATGACACCATCACCACACGTCTCACTCAACTGGCGATGAATTTCAATGGGTGTCGCACCACGCAAGCGGGGAAAACGAATGATTACTCGCTGTTCTTGTGACGAAAACATCGCCATTTTACGTTCAAAAACACTCGTGACCCTCGCCGCCACCACTAGAGTTCTGTGTGCCGTACAGTGGTGCCATCTGTCACGCATTCACAAAGAGTGCACACGTATTTTAAAGTAAACCGCATGTGTCTATCTGTTCCCAGTCCTGAGAAAAAAAAAATCAGAGACCTTAGAACTTGAACGCCCCTCGTAAATCAGTCTCGGAACTTTATGGACAAAGGTTGTACATCGATATTGGGAATCCGCAGTTTTGTAAGACTTTATAGTTCCCGTGTTATAATTTCGTGACTAGTGCAGATAAGACTGAACAGATCAGCGCAGAGTGCTTTGTAGTGTGAAAATTAACTGTACGTAGTTACCACCTGTAAGTATCCAATAAATACAATTGCCAATCCGAACCCCGTCTTTAGACACTGTGGCACGTGACAATATTGTCACGTGTATTAGTGATTAGAGACGGGGTTCGGATTGGCAATTGAATTTATTGATCACTCACAAGTCGTAACTATAATTGAGTACAGCACTCTTGCCGATACTCTCACTACAAATCACTCAACACTGAATCTTCTCGGTGTGCTTTCACCAGTCATCATTATCCATTTCACTGCAACGGATTTACCACAGTCTCACTGCAACTACAGCATATGCAGTCCTCAGCTCACAAACTAGATCTCCTGGATACTTTCTAATTCCTTACTTGGTATCATCTTCGAATCCGGAGTCCCTGAATTCCGATCTATGAATGTGTCTAGCCGGCATGAGTTTCTGGTTATAAAGCCTCAGGTCGGAGCACATCACAGAAAACAAGTCCTTTGTTAGACAACAGACGTCTTCTATTATTGAGTATTCGTTTGAATACTGACTCGTTGCTTAAACAATGGGCATGAAGACCTACATAGAAATCACTTCTTACAACAACTGTTATATTATTGCGGGCGGTGCCTAGTAATGGATCTATTCTGTTTGTTGCGTATTTGTTGCAGG